CTGCTCCCTTCTTTTTCAAATGACTAGTTTTATCTATGTGACTCAGGGTATTGAGGAATTGCTTAATTACTGGGATAATCCCAGATTACATTGGTGAAATTACTAGCTTAAAAGTTTTGTAAGTAGCTTTTATCATATCTTTGAAGTTAATAGCCTTTCCACTTATTTTTAACATGCAATGCCAGTCAGGAATGAGATAACCGATACCGAGAAGAAAAGATAACTGGAATTTTTTGGCAGTAGCATCTGGTTGTCACTTAATTGAGATAATGTTGTTTCCGATTACTCTGACATGTATCTTTTTGTTCTCAAATTGTAGGGACCTGAGCTTCAACAAGTTGACTGGTCCAATTCCAAGAACATTTGAGAGCTTGACGGCAGTAGATTTTATGTAAGTCTATTTCATATATCAGGCCAAGCACTTGAACCTCTTGTGTTTGTTACTTTTCTATTTTTTCTAATTTCTCTAGCTTGTATCTTCATTTAGTTGCTTTTCGAACCATAGAATGAGATTTTTATTTTTTTATTTTTTATTTTCTATTTGCTTTAGGTTTTTGAATAATAACTCACTGACTGGACAAGTTCCTGGATTTATATTGGACAACAAAAATAACATGTAAGTCAATCCTCAGAGCCATATTGTACCTCGATTTTTCTGTAAAGTTATTTGTTTGCTTAATTTCATAATTTATTCCCTTTGAATCTCTCTTTAAACCAAGGTGATCAAGAATGCAAATTCCAGTAATTTTTTCCCATATTTGTACAAATGCATGACAAACAAACTACTGCAGGGATTTGTCTTACAACAATTTTACAAATGCTCCTCAAATTAATTGCAGACAAATGAGTGTGTAAGCATCTATTTATCCAGTGGTTTTATGCTCACAGTTCTTATGTTTTCTTCTAATCTTCTCTCTCCCTTTCACTTAACAGGAACTTAGTCTCAGCTTACTCATCCTTGACAGACAACTCGTGAGTTCTTTGCTAACTGGCTTTATATTTAACTTTGTTTGCCTATATAATGTCTACATATATAAATGATTTACTCACTTGAAGTTTCCAATCCACAGGGTTTCGTGGTGCTTAAGAAAGGACCTTCCTTGCTCTGATGATGCAAAACGTGAGTACATGTGCACACATCTAAGCTATTATTTTGATGAATTAAGAAAGATCTCTGATCTGAATGAAGTTCTCAATTATTCAAACATCATGATATTTGCAGATCATTCCTTGTTTATTAATTGTGGAGGAGGCAGTGTAAAAGTTGATGGAAATAATTACGAGGAGGACTTGAACAAAGAGGGCCCATCAGACTTTGCTTCAACTTCAACATGGGGCTACAGCAGTACAGGACTGTTCGTGGCCAAAGATATGGACAGTTTATTGCATCAATGTATTTGGTCTGATGTGACAGTCCGGATTACTATAATCTGCTCGTGTTGCACCCCATTCACTCAACTATTATGGCCTGTGCATGCGTAAAGGCAGTTATAAAGTCCGGCTTCACTTTGCTGAAATTATGTTTTCTAATAATGAGACATTTAGCAGCCTCGGAAAGCGTGTATTTGATATGTCAATTCAAGTGAGTAACAAAGGAAAAAGAGAGGTGTTTTACATTTTCATTGCTAATATGCAAATTTTTCATTGACTTGCATTCTTTAAAAGACTGTTTTGCTTTCGGAAAGTTGAAACTATTTAGTTTGGCTTAAACCGGTAAAATTCTAACTCCAGTTTTCCACAGGAATTTAATTCATAATGATTTAACCTCCAATTTTCCACAGGGGAATTTAGTTCATAAGGATTTTAATATTGCGGAGCGAGCTGGCGGTGTTGGTAAGGGCATCACTGAGACTTTTGATAACATTCATGTCAATGGTAGCACTTTGGAGATCCACTTGTACTGGGCAGGAAAAGGAACTAATGCCATTCCTGACAGAGGGGTCTACGGACCTCTTATATCTGCTATAACTATAACACCAAGTAAGCCTGTCTTATCTGCAAGGATCTTACTCTTCTGTTCATAAATTTTTTGTTTTAGTAATTGGCTTTCTGCTTTTAGACTTCAAGGTTGACACTGGAGGGTTATCAGTTGGAGCAATTGTTGGTATTGTAGCTGCTTCATGCATAGTTCTTGGATTGTTTTTGGTAGTCCTTCGAATGAAAGGATACTTGGGCGGGAAAGAACCTGAAGATAACGGTAAGGCTACTAAAACAGGAAAATCATTCACAATTAGTATTTGTCCCTTGCATATTGTTAATTCTGCAAGTAACACTTACTCTGGATAAGTTGATCATGTCTGCTTCTCATTGACTTGTTTTAAGGTCATGTAGACCAATCTTCGAAAGAATAACTGAAAGTTCCTTGTTTAGCTGGTTTAGTGCTGGTTTTAATTTTCAACCTGTTTGACTAATCTTTGCGTTCTTCTTGTTGCAGAACTTCGTGGGCTGGACCTTCAAACGGGTTATTTCACTTTGAAGCAAATTAAATTTGCTACAAAGAATTTCCACCCTGAAAACAAGATAGGTGAAGGAGGCTTCGGGCCAGTTTACAAGGTAATAATGGACGTTTCATACTATTCATTCTGTTGCGCAAGTCTGCTTATGTATTTCATTGATTTGATTATATGGAGTATAAACCTAACAATGCCAAAAGTGGAATAAAACAGGATTGTCTTTGTATGTCTTTCTGAAACACTACCCTTGCTTGATTTCAGGGTGTTCTGTCAGATGGTGCAATAATTGCTGTTAAACAGTTATCCTCCAAATCAAAACAAGGGAACCGTGAATTTGTCAATGAGATAGGCATGATATCAGCATTGCAACACCCAAATCTTGTGAGGCTTTATGGCTGTTGTATTGAAGGAAACCAGTTGTTGCTTGTGTATGAATACATGGAGAATAACAGTCTTGCACGGGCACTCTTCGGTAATAGGCTAACACCTTAAACCCTAGTGTATGTAACTTTTTGATTCAGAATGATGACTGAACTGCCTTCTACCATCTGATGTTCTGTTTTAGGTCGTGATGAACAACGTCTTCATTTGGACTGGCCTACAAGGATGAAAATATGCTTGGGAATAGCAAAGGGTTTAGCCTATCTTCATCAGGAATCTAGGTTGAAAATTGTTCACAGGGACATAAAAGCAACCAATGTGCTTCTAGACAAGGGCCTTAATGCTAAGATATCTGACTTTGGGTTAGCCAAGTTAGATGAAGAAGAGAACACACATATCAGCACACGGATAGCGGGAACAATGTAAATCTCTTTTTCTTCTCTCTCTCTGATTGAAGTTTTCTGCTCTGAGATGGCATATATAGATGAAATCAACATGGGTTCTGCACAGCTGCACAGGGTAGGCACATTGGAATTTTGTATTTGAAAATAGTAGCATTAATAAGGGGATGGGTGGATTCTGAAATGTCTCTTGGATTGAAATGCAATTTTTGACTAATCAAAAGAGTTCCAATTTTCATTTCATTTGATAATGGTTGTCAGTTCCTTCTAACTCTAATTGGTAATGGCTCAGAGCGCTTACATTGTTCATGCTTTTGTTTTTGTTAATAAATTCAGCGGATACATGGCACCTGAATATGCGATGAGAGGTTACTTGACTGACAAGGCAGATGTTTATAGCTTTGGGGTTGTTGCTTTGGAGATTGTCAGTGGGAAGAGTAACACTAACTACAGGCCGAAGGAGGAATTTGTTTATCTT